TGGTTCCATATATATAGAATATATATATATTTTTTATTTCTCAGACGGTGCATCTGCTCACCAGACAAAAATAGAGAAATAGAAAGAGGGAGAAGGAGAAAGCAGTCCCCAGATGGGCACGATCACTTTAATCCTTCCCCATTTCTCTATTGGGTCGAGATCTTGGGCACACATGCACGTGTGCCTAGCATGTTTCCAAGCCACTGGGGCTGGGCTTCAAGTGACACAGCAGGTCAAGTAGCATCCAGTTCCCTTAACCACCAGGCCACAGGGCCAGCCCACCAGTCTCTGTTGTCTTACTTCCACATTATTGCTCTTTTTTTTATACTAATTTTTAAAGAACAGTTTAAATGATCAATCTATGTTCTCAAGTTTTCAGTGTAGGAATATTTTCCTGGAGGTGGGAATGGGAAATAATCTTCCTGAGTTTGGAGGTCATCTGGTATAGTGAAGTTCTCAGATCAAGGATGCTTTAGCATCATTGTTAGGACACTCAGAGGTCATTAAAGGACAAGGTTGTGTTTTAGGAGACTAAGACAAAAAACGGGGCTGGAAGTTAAAATGTTCTGCTAATGGATTCTGTAGTTTTTTTTTGTTTTTTTGTTTTTTTTTTTAAAGCGGGACATTTTTATTCATTTCCAAGCCCCAAACATGTGCTTTTTTCAGGAATGGTTAAAGTTCAGAGGCTGGGGATGGGGGAGGGAGAATAGAGATTACCAGACTTCACTTTCAGATCCTTTGTGAAATGAGATAAGTGTATAAAACAAAGACAAACCAACTAAAAAAAAACTGTGAGGGGGCCTCCACTCCACTTCTAGACTTGACCAACAGCAGACACGCCTCTTCAGGGGCCCCTTACAACCTCCCCCAGAGTCCTGGAGATCTTTCCTTTCTGGATGACTTTCCCTTGGAGCAGAGCCTATTGTCAACAGGAGGCTCTGTTTGGAATAAACCCTCATGTAGGTCAGTCGATTGAACTAAGTTTCAGGTCATGCTGTCAGGGATACGTGGGGGTGAGTACAATGTTCTTTCCAATGGAGAATGAGACAAATACACAGAGCAGGCAGCCCTGCCTTCTCCCGAGGCCGAGGGACTTGGGTCTGCCAGAGTGCCTGAGGGTTGAGTGCTGGATGGGCGTACCATGGTTGCAGAAGTGTGGTCTGTGTGCTCCCTGAGGGCCGCCTGGGGTTCACCTGCGCAAGAAGGCCTCAAAGGTGAAGATCCTGAAGGGGAACAGGGACCAGACTGTGCCAGGAGAGGGTAGCAGCCAATCATGCGCCTTTTGTGAAGGCTGAGAGGGAGAAGGAATAAAATCGCTTTACCACTGGTGATACTAGAATGGAGGCTGGAGGACGGGAAGAGACTGAGTGAGGGACAAGCTTAAATTTAGCGAAATGGAAAGCAAGAAGCACTCTTAAATAGGCAGGGTGGCCCAAGTCAGTGCTACTGGGCCTGCCGCCGATTAACGTGGAATCTGTACAGCAGCGTCTGGGCACGTAGGCAGAGAGGTGTTCACGTCCACCACAGCGAACACACCCACAGCAGTCAAGGTGCTTATCACGAAAGGGCCGCAGGACAGCGGTGATCCGCAGGGCCCAGAAAAACGGGGTCATTGGGTGAATCCCACCTCTGTTTAGGGGGGATCTGCGAGGACTGTCATCTAGATACTCCCCCTGTTCTTGGCGGCTCTCCTCTCCGCACAGTTCTGTCCTAGAAGCAGAGACACTGGCTGGTGGCCACCTGAGTCAAGGTGCTTATCACGAAAGGGCCGCAGGACAGCGGTGATCCGCAGGGCCCAGAAAAACGGGGTCATTGGGTGAATCCCACCTCTGTTTAGGGGGGATCTGCGAGGACTGTCATCTAGATACTCCCCCTGTTCTTGGCGGCTCTCCTCTCCGCACAGTTCTGTCCTAGAAGCAGAGACACTGGCTGGTGGCCACCTGCCAAG